AAGTCAATGCAGTTACCTTGAGAAATGGAAGAGCATTAGAAGAAGTTCCAAAGAAAAAGAAGAATACAGCTCATCCTGAAGGAGAATTAGTTCCCAAGCCAGTTGAGGGGAATGAGAAAGATGATAAAGGACCCGAGCTAGTAATTGAGACTACGCCACCACCTCCGTTTCCACAAAGACTGCAGAAGCAAAAAGATGATGCTAAGTATAAGAAATTCCTAGATATTTTGAGCCAAGTGAGTGTGAATTTGCCTTTGGTGGAAATTTTGCATGAAGTGCCTAAGTATGCAAGGTATCTTAGAGATATTGTGGCAAACAAACAAAGACATGCAAAGTTCGAAACAGTTGCACTTACTGAAGATTGCAGTGCCAGAGTTCAGAGTAAACTTCCTTCTAAGTTGAAGGATCCTGGGAGTTTCACAATTCCTTTGTCTCTTGGAAAACAAGAAGTTGGTAGAGCCCTGTGTGATTTAGGGGCTAGTATAAATTTGATGCCATCCTCTTTGTTCAAGCAACTCGGATTATGGGTGCTTAGACCTACTACATCACTTTACAGTTAGCAGATAGGTCACTAGTCATGCCAGAAGGAATTATTGTGGATGTGTTATTTCGAGTGGAAAAGTTTATTCTTCCTGCTAAAGTTATTGTTCTTGATTACGAGGCAGATGAGGAAGTGCCCATTATTTTGGGGCGGCCATTCTTAGCTACTGGTGGAGCAATTATTGATGTGAGGGCAGGGAAGTTAAAAATGAGAGTTGACGATGAGGAGGTCACTTTTAATGTGTACAAGACACTTAAGCTCCCTAAGCATTATGAGGACTTGTGCATGATTACTATGGTAGAATCGAAGGGGATAGAACAGAGTCCTTATGTGAATTGTAGTGATCCAGATGGGACAACTGAGTTAGAGTAGGTAGTGTTGCAAGCTGAGTGTGTAAAGACGATTGCGAAAAGAGCCAGAGATGAAAGAGGAGATCTTCCTAGGGTGTGCAAAAATGCTAGACTTCATGGGAGAAAGAAGAAGAGAAAGCGTCCAGCCTGAGCAGAGTAGTAGAGTCGTGCCACGACTATAAATAAGGCGCTTGTTGGGAGGCAACCCAACCTGTATATCTTGTATTTATTGACTATTTTTTTTTGTCAAGTTTTGTATTATTTTTATTTTGCAGAGTAGGGGAAGTCTGAGTACCCAAAGTTGAAGCTGAGGAGCATGTTTGAGCTTAATTGTGGGATCGTCCCGACCCTTAATATTGAGGATCATGTCCGAGCTAGGCCCGAGAGGGCCTCAGGGAGTATTGCTCACCGTTGTTTTAATATTTTTCTCTATATCATGCATCGAGGACTATGCATAATATAAGTGTGGGGTGAGGAAACTACTTTTTGAAGTGTAATTGTATAAAACTAATTTTTTTTAATTTAGTTTTTCTTTTAAAACTCATAGTAGACATAGTCTAGGTTTAGAAAAAAAAAACGAAAATTGAAAAAAAAAGATTTAGAAAAAGTTCAGATTTTTCCCGACGATGAATCTTTTTGACAATTTTCTTAAGGGATAAAGTCCGATTAAAAATACCAGTATACAATAAAAAATTTGTACGCTTGTTGTATGTTTTGACTGGATTCTACACAATAAAAAGTTATATACAATTAATATGTAAGTTGTATGTATGAACCGGATTTGCATATATTTCGCAAAAAGAAACACTTTAGCTACTTTTTGATTATCTAAAAACCAAGCACTATTAAAAAAAGAGCAAAAACCAACCACATAAGCCGACCGATGTTGGTCGGTAATTTGCAAAAACCAATCGAAAACTGACCGATGTGTGGCAGCCAGTAATCGTGCAATCGGTAGAGCCAACCGACCGACTTCGGTCGGTTGTGATAGATTCGGTCGGTCAATTAGATTCTCAACCGACCCAAAAAAAATCGACTGACTTTATACGTAATTAAAAATGCACTGTTTGAGGGTCGAACTGAGGTCTGTACTGTGGCAAAATATTATTCTACCACTAGACTATTGGTGCTTTTTGGTTTAAGATTTTATCTATATATATATATATA